GGCCGCGGTAACCGGAACTCGGAGACAACTACCCAGGAATATCAAGTGATTCTGCCACCGCTACCATCAGGTACAACTGTTTTGCATACAGCTTTTTTGCATAGAGAAGCGCGGGCTATGCCGTAAAGTCTCGAGCACTTTCGTGACGAGCTGGTTCGTCAAGAGCATTTCGCCGATGTAATCGCCTTGGGGGCGTATCAGTACAACCATTTGTGGGCCGTGACCTTTAACAGCCAAGAGGAAAAGAAGAAGATTCTCGCTGCCAGTGACCTCACAGTCAAGGACGGTCATTGTCTAGTGATCGACCCGTGCAACTAGGACACACGTCTCAAGCTGCACTGAGTGCTTCCACTTCTTCCACGACGACGAGAGACGGGCAGCTTTAGCGCCTTACGGCAAGGTGATGAAAATCACCCGAGACAAGTGGCGCGTCCAAATATGCCAGGACAAAGTGTCGACTACGCGTTCGGTGACACTCAGGCAGAGGGCGGGTGGCACGGCAAATGACTTGCCGCATCACTTGTGCGTCGCTGGAGACTTCACTCTCGTCGTGGTTCCAGGCAGGGCGCCGCTGTGCCTTCGGTGTCACCGCACGGGCCATATAAGACGAGAATGTAGAGTGCCGCGCTGTGCGTCATGCGGTCGCTTCGGCCATGACGAAGGCCAGTGCGTCAAGACATACGCAAGTGTCGCTGAGACTGTGGGAGTTAACGACCCGTCCGAACATCTCATCGATGCGGCTGCCGCTGAGGAAGTCACCGGAGGAGGGGCGGACGATCCACCAAGTGAGGCGACGCCCACCTTCTCCGATTTTGCTGATGGTAATGGAAGCAGCAACAGCAAAGAAGAGCGGAGCCCTGCCCTCAAGGTGTCACCTGCTAGCAGTGCCAACGTATCTCAAGCCGTCGACAAGGCAGACGATGCGCCGGCAGGGACAGAGCCCAGAGGAGGGATGGACGCCACAAGCGCAGTCACCAAGCGACCCCGCGAGGACAAAGCGGAGGGGGAGCAGAACACCGGTGAGACCAGTTCCGAGGAGCCGCCACCAAAAGCGACTCAAAGCCGACGGATGAGTTTTAAGCCGAAGCCCAACATACAGAACAGGAGGCCACTTGCAACATCATCCTCGTAGGGATCAGGGACCGGGCTCGGAACGGCACTTCCAGAGAGGAGAACGGCGCGACTTTAAGGGGTCAAGGCAGAGCAACCAACCGATGAAGCCGTCCAAACTATGTTCGGGGACGGTGGGTCCGCGGTCTTCACTCTGAGCACATGTCTAAGTGCTATGGGTTAAGCCTGATCTAGATGAGATGGCAGTCACCCTCAAATCTGCTCTTCGCGTAGCCACTCTAAACGTGCGAGGCCTAGCAGCACGGAGGAGACAGTACCAACTTAGCGGACTCCTACTAAAAAATTATATTGATATCATTGCAGTACAGGAAACAACAGTCGAAAGCGTTGAGCAGACAGACCAAATGGTACAGCCGTTTGAGCCCGGTTCAACGTTTGTGTTTTTCATTCTGTAGGTTATACTGGGGCTGCGCTCTTTTGCTTCGTAATACTATTGGAGGAGGAGGTTTCCGTGTTGTTCAGTTAAAATATGACGCACTGATATTTAATGACACTCTCCGTGTGCGCTGGGTTGCGCGAACCACAATCGATGTGGAAACAGCAACAAAGGTAGACGTTTAAATAGGATTGCAGGGCCCCATAAAGCTTTCAAAAGTCTTATAGCCACTACTGTTACCATCCAGGGCAGAGTCATGGAATGAAAGACGTGCGAGGTCGGTGAGGTATCACGGCTCGAAATGGAGTATCTGAGAGCTACTCTCTTTGTCATCAATCTGATGTATGTACGGATCGCACCAGGCTGTATTCTGCCAGCAAGTACGAGTCGAAACGCTGTCCGCATTTCTGTTGTTACATCGGTCTCTTTGCAGATAGATAACCACTCGGAAACCCTGTGACAAAATCCATCGTTCGCTGTGCTGTGCGTAGGTCACGTCGGCTGATGAAAGTTCCCCAGGGAGAGCCAGCATCTATCGGGACAACGACATATGCATCCTCGTGTACGTGCTCTTTGCCGAGCAGAGCGCGCCACAAATCGTCTGAGGCTTTGTTTCGTGAGCCTGGCCTCTGTACAATGATCTAGGCATATTTTTGAAGCTTAGGTGCCCAGCGTATTGTCTTGCCGGATTCTTCAGTCACTGAGGGCAATGCAAGGCAATATTACCTGACTGGACAAGAAAGCGCGTGCCATCAAGATATATATTGCATTTCTGCAGGGTGTATATGATGGCTAAGCACTCAAGCTCGCAAACGCTGTAATTCCGTTGAGCTGCTGTCAACGTATGGCCACCAAACACTACGGGTCATAAGGTGCCATCCAGGTTTTGCAGCAACACAGCGTCTGAACCTTAGCCTCTCGCATTAATTTGCAGTACAAACGCATGGTTGATGTCTGGGAGCTTCAAATGGTGTTTTTCGGCAATACCTCTGGGCAGTTGGAGGAAAGCATTTTTCTGTGCCCCCGTCCAACGCCAGTTGAGGCCTTTGCGCAGGCGTTCATTTAGGTGCCGCGTTATTTCTGCACAGTGGGGGATGAACATTTTTATACGTCGTACAATACCATAAAGCGAACGGCCTCGGAAACTGCTTGTAGCAAAGAGACTTTTGTCTGATACCATATCAAACTATTGCAAAGTCCACTCGCACTCATTTCAAAGACCGTAGTATAAAAAAAAAAGTTCCGTTTTTTTAGGGGCTTTACTGATTTATTCCTTCATGCGATGATTCAAGATATATGTGGGGGAATTTTCTATTAGTTTTACGTTATTTTATCAAAAGACGGTGCACGTTCTAAACGCTAAAATTATGGCGTCTTCCTCCGAGAACCAAACATTTCAGAACTACTTTGTGCATCACATGAACAATGCGCAAAGCTTTGTTTTTTTATGTAACAAGAAGTATAACTCAGCGATGCCTTAATCGATCGCTTGAGATAAGCAAAGGGCGTACCACGCCCTCTAGCCGATACTAATACGGCTTTGAAGAGAATCATATGCGTACGCAACGAGTATGTTCATTTCTAATGACAGTTTATTGGTTGACCGACGCGGTCCCCTTCTTTCTACTAAACCGTACGCGTCCATCCTATGGTACCTCTATGTGCACTTTGCCTTTGGTGGTGACCTGGCATCAGACCAGTTTTAAGCGGCTCTTGATTATTTTTGGTTCAGAAGCACGTGAAAGAACCTCTCCCGGCACGAGCTCTTAATGTTGACTGTGTTATAGCGCCATGCTGGTTCCTTGATAAAATGGAAACTTGGACGAGTTGGTGATTCATATGTTAAGGTTAACCGCGCAAGATCAATCACACACACCGACACACAAACGGACAAGCACACGCGCTGACTTACAATTCGTTTTGTATTCTCTTTGTTCCCGTCGTTGGGTTGACTCTCCCAATCTCTATGATCAGCACAACAGCACGAATACAGACACTTCTAAATATGCTTCTGAATCCTCACCGCAGTTTTCTGGACAAAACTTTGAGCTCTTTTCGAGTCAGTGTTAAGGACGGACTACTAGCCCACTTGTCAGCGAGAAGCGCTATTTTTCGAGCTTCCATTATCCCTCTGGTTAGCGGGTCCCGACCTTTTCCTATTACAGAAAATTTTTAGAAATTCGGAATGCATCCACAATTTCTACAGTGCATCCCTACAGTGCGGGTCCTGGCCAGTGCGGGTCCCGAATTCTTCCTATTACAGAAAATTTTTCGAAAATCGGAACGCATCTGCAATCCCTAAAGCAAGTGTCGAGATGGGCTCCTGTCTATTTATGTTGGAACGCAAACTAAATAATGGAGAAAACTGCATCGGGCACTGATTGGCTATTCTCTCGGGTCTAGTGACATGACGTTGAAATGTAGTTTTTTCCTATGCAGTTAGATCTATGCTCGTAAAATAATGCAGCTGGCGGTGACGTCAAAATGTCGTCACGATGCACTTTGACGATGCAGTTAACTGAGTGGTCGAGACGAAGCCGGAGATCAATCTGCATCGTAAAAGATGGCGACCCTAACATATGCATCTCTACACTCTCAAAAATAAGCGTGCCAAATCGACTGAAAAGGGTTCTTTGCGCAAAAGGAGGCGTGTCCCTTCGAGATTCTGCCTTCAAAAGAACGCTTTTCGAAAAAAGTAAGAAATGTGGCTTCGGGACGACTTGAGAGGGTGCTTTGTGGGAATAGGCGAGAGAGAAAGCGTGCTTTCAAGCAAGGTCATTTCGGCACGGGAGCGCGGGGGCAGTGCAGTGAAAGGTGCAGGCACGCGTTCCCTCTACCGTTTTGAGCGCGGGTCCTTCTGCTGTCCCCGGAAATGCCAAGAAAAGTTGTCGAGATCGACCTGGAGGTGGCGCTGACCCGTATGGCTCTGGGCTCTCCTAGAATTCCTGGCAGCGTACATTTATTTTGACATCCGTCACCAGACCTACAGTCACCGCACAGAGTTGGAAGGGTTGAGAGGATGATAGGGAAGGAAGGGAGGGTGGGGGTGGAGAGAGGATAGAGGTGAAGGGAAAGAGAAACATGTTTTTGAGCCGGTGCGGCACATGCCGAAGTCAAAGAGGGGGGGGGGGGGGGGGGGGGTGTAATAAGGGAAGTAACCTTGAGGAGAAATTAAAGGGTGGGCGACCTTACTTCAAAGGCGCCTACGTTTGTCGCATTTCGGGACGCAGAAAGGAAACGTCGGCGTCGGGTGGGGGGCTTGTCGGGTTTTTGGTTCCTCCCGGTCTGCCTGCTTTGTGTTAGCTCCAGACGGGTTTCTCGTCTGCGTTGGTTTCTGTTTGGTTGCTGTACGTGTTGCTCTTCTTTTTTTTTTTTTCTTCTTTTTCCGTGACATTTTGTGGCATGCATGGGCCGCTATGGGGTCCTCCCCACTACGCGGCGCTAAGCCAGCGAAGATACCCAGCGCGCCATTTCGTTCACTCGGAAAATGACTCTGGACATGGACAAGTGGACGACGGATGATGTCAGCGCATGGTCGACCAGAAAACCGATTGGGATCTGCGTGTTCTGCCTTTCAAGGTAAATATTTTTCCTGTATATGTGCGTATTGAAAGTATATTCTAAGTGTAATACTATCAGTATTATGGTACCGGTCACTGAAACTTACATTTTTGTTAATCGGTGAGAGAAGGAAATGGCGCGTCATAGAGAGTGCATGAAGCGTAAGGCGTTGCTTTAGGACGCCTGGACTCCAGCACCTGCTCGTTTCCCCTTCGCGGTGCTTTGGCTGCTCGAGCCACCTTTTTTAGGAACTCACCGGTTCGAGATTTTTGGGCAGAGAACGCGTGTGCACACCACGAGCGCTCTCGCTAACTCTCGCTTGAAAGCATGCCATGGTCGCTCGTGAATCCAAGGAGCGCGAACATCTGTTTTTATATCAGAAACTCTGGAACCATGATTTCTAAAGAGGTGGATTGTTGAAGCCAGAAGCTGCGACTCTTTTTGTATTGGTTCTACTACTAAAACATTGAGTCATGGTAAAGAAACCGCAGCACTGGATCACAGCGGACATCTCGGAAGCTTTTTTCACGTTTATTTTCAAGTTAATTAAGATATTCAGCGAGAAGTCAATTTGCAAGCTTGTTTGTAATATTGATGACGAGACCGGATCGTCATGTCAAAATATACGAGCAGTAAATACAAGCTTTTTAAGAATTGCTTACCACTCGCAAGAGTTTTCTTCGCCCTCATATTCTCAATGCTATGAAATCTGGCGACTCCAAATTTAAAATTACTATTTTTTTTTAACTTTTCTATTTAAATTTTTACTCTCAACATAAAAGAAAAATCCCAATAAAAGGTCTCAGAGAATTCACTAGCCTATGGCTGTGACAATATGAGGCGAAAAACGTTAATCCGTACTTCATAATCATAAAAAAAAACACGCACACATTTTTTTTTTTTATTTCGCGGCGAGACATTATTGCTGGTTTTATTTTTGTTCACTTTATTTTGCTATCACTATCACTATCGCGTTGTGTCGCATATTGCCACAAATATTAGACACCTGCAGTGCTTGGAAGACGACTGCTCGTGGCCATTTTCTCAGTTGCTTAAAATAAAATGTTGAATGCGAATCATTAATAACGCAGCCATCTTCAATGCGAAGTTTTTACGCTTAATTTTAACGTAGAAAATCTTATCGGCGAGGATAACTTGGTAAAAATTGTCACGCGACCTGACAGCGTTAGGGGTCACGCCGAATGTCTGATATCCGGATACGCCGGATATCGAGCCTGCTTGGGGGGACAGTCCGTATACTACGCATAAGACTTTTGTGACGGATGTCTAAAACGATTTCGCCTTAATTTTTTTCTTTATTGCAAATTTAGAAAAAAAGAGTCAGCAGTAACTAAAGAATTATATTTTATTTTTCGCCAGTAAATTTACACTAAGTTCAATAGTCGCAGCCAATCATTTTAGCAAAAAATTTGGTAATTAATGAATTACATCTTGCTAGTAATAAAAAAACACGATTAAAATGTCCTCCTTACAATTTGCTGTATACAACTCTTACTGAGATCGCTCACTATAGATTTATAAAAATAAATTACTTAGTTAAAAAATTATAAAATATAAAAAGAAAATGGCAAAAAAGCGCTCGTTGCAGTATCAGCCGGTAACCTTGACCGCATGAAGAACGAACAGTAAATTTATAAAAGAGAATTCTTGCGAGTAAGGAGCCATCTTTAAGGTTTTAATTTTCCACTTAGATAATTTTGCTATGACCATTGGATTTTGTTGAACCTACCCACCGATATTATAAACATGCGTGCAAAACGACAGCTTTGTAAATTTTTACAAGCTACATTAAAAAAATGTAGCAACTCTACATTAAATTTGCCCGATGTTAGAGCGCGGCCTCAAGAAAAGTGTGGCGTGGCTAATTGCAATCATATGTTGGTTTAGAATTGGTATTATTGGAAACTTGTGCCATCAGATAAGCTGTAGAGTAGTGGTGAGATGCAAAAAAAAAGGCAAGTGTATTGTGGTGTTGTGGTTGTCTATACAGCGGATATTGGTCTTCCCATCTGCTTTTGCAAGTCATGTCTCCGCTATAGATGAGAAATATAGCCGGTGCAGTACGATTTATCAACCAGTAGGAATTAAATGACTGCACGCCTTGTACTATGCTCATCCAGATTGAGTCATTTCAAATGTCGAAATGTATAAACTATATCTTCAGGTTATGTACGTGTTTGCAGACAATCCTTGAAGGGTCGGCCTCCTGAGCCTGCCATTGGTGTTCCATGAAAGAGACACCTGCTCTTCACGTCCAACAACGTAAGTAAAGTGGTCTCTAATATATTTTTATATATGTATGCTTAATTATTTTTAGTACATTTTCTTGACAGTATTTAAACGTAATCAACTTATCCTATAATTTTGAAGATATAGGGAATATAAACAAAACATATCTTGACCGAACAGTAGAGTTATATACTTGGTGCATGCAATGTAGTTCTTTTTTTTTTTTTTTTTAAGTTGACGAGATTTGTTTAAAAGAAAAGTCGTGAAAGTAACGGTTATGCTGTTTGTGCAGGTGAGTTATATGGCGAGGGGGACATACTAAAGGGGGCTAATCGATCAGTCAAATAATTAATTAAAATTCGTCAATTAACTTTTTAATTAATGAAAATCGACATATGGTTCCAATTAGAAACTTGCTCAGCGTCATCAAAAACCACTGAATCAGTAATTATCAGAAAGACTTTGAGCGCGTGAGAAGCGTTGTAGTGCACTAAAGTTAACACTCGTGAAGCAGGTGCAAGGCTAGCGGTTGCAGAACGCGATGATAATAGGAAGTTTTCGTAGACCGCGTTTCCCCCTCCGCTAAGCCCTCCTCAACGAAGAAACCGCTACTGCGCCTGCGCTCCGAAGGCCTTGACTGTAGAGTTCCGGATATCGTATAGTGGGTTACAGAGAGCGTTGCGGGACGGCCAAAACGATCTACGAAGACTCCCTAATCTAATCATCCATGTTCCGCAACCGCTAGCCTTGTACCTGCTTCTCGACCGGTAACTTTACTGCACTACTACGCTTCTCACGCGCTCGAAGTCATTCTGAAAATTACTGATTCAGTGGTTTCGATGACGCTCAGCAAGTTTATAATTAAAACCATATGTCCACTTTCACCAATTAAAAAGTTAATTAACGAATTGAATTAATTAGCTGACTTATCGCAAAGATTAGCCACCCACATAATGCCCCCCTGGCAGTATAACCCACCTCTTCGAGTGGCATAAGTGTAACTTTCACGTTTTTGTTTAACATATCTGTTAACCTTACTATATATATATATATATATATATATATATATATATATATGTGTATATATATATATATATATAATTCAGTTACAGGGGACCCACATTACCTATTCACGTATAAAGTATAAATATTGACATGCATGTGATAATGTTATCTTTTTTGACTGTTGCAGAACGTAAGTGTGTTGACACCGATCATCCAAGTCAAGGAGGATGAATTTTGTGTTTTCGTTGATGGCCTGGAAGCCGTGACCGGCATCACCACAGAAATTGAAGCTGTTAGTACATTGTTTGCCCTTTACTACATCTTTGATGTGAAGCACCCAGCAGACATCTCACACACGATGATATGTATCGCTCACTTTTTTTTGTTCTCTTGGAGGGAAAAACATGCCTGTCGCTGTTAAAAGATATGAAACCTTTTTGTCCAGTTAAGTGGTCATCGTTTCAATAAAATGTTAATTGTTTAATTACTCTGTTTGTTTTCAGTATTTTCCTCAAAAGATGTCAGTAGTTTTGTATGTTCGCGTTGAATAATAGGCTAAATAAAATATGTAAAGTGAACAAGTGTCTTGTTTTTATAATTATTGGCTTTGGTCAATCAGACGCTTTTGGGAGCACTAAATACTTTGTAGAGAATAGTAAAAGTAGATAACTCGCCATATGATTCACTTAGATCGTTTTATTAATCATCAAACAAGCCTCTATTAAGATATCAAAATCAGGTTCAGTAAAATTTTTATTTTAAGAAGCCGTGAATCGTTCACTTTATTGTCTGGTTGGTAAACACCCATTATGGTACCATTAATAATTTATAATAAGGTGGCTAAAAAGCAATAATATACATAAAGCATCGATCAGGAGCTCGATAGAAGATCCAAATAAGATTCAATAAAGAACCAATAAATGTTTTTTTTAGAAAGCCATAAATGGTTTTAGAAAGATCCTATTGTAAGGTGGCTAGAAAGAACCCTTAACGGTTCTATACAGCCCCGATCAAAGATTCAATAAAAGATCCTAATAACGCTCCATAAAGAACCAAAGAATTCGTTCTTCGAAAGAGCGCTAAATGGTTTTAAAAAGAACCTTACGAAAGGTGGCTAAAAAGAACTAAGGCGTTCTTGAAAGAACCCATAAAACGTTCTAAGAAGGATCCAATTATGGTTCAGACAAGAACCCATATAAATAGTTCTTTTGAAGTACCATTATCGGAGCCAAAAATAACCATTCCTAGGGTTCTGCTAAAAAACCGAAAAAGGATTTATAAAGAACCCAAAAATTGGGTTCACCAGAAGAACCGATAATGTACGTTCTTTCCGGAACCTTTAAAGGTGCCGCCCATCGGACAAGTGAAAGAACCCAAAATGGTTCTTTCGGGCACCTTTTTTTTTTAGAGTGTACTGTTGGGTTCGCCAGCGGATCGAGTTTTTAGAGATCACCGGGATGCTTTCGAGACAAACAATGCGAGATTTGTAGGCGAATACCGGCTGACGAAAGGGGCGACTCGCTGGCTGTGCGACCAGCTTCGCGGAAAGCTCCAGAGGCATCGTGAAGGGCCCCGTGTGTTGACGGTCGAAGAACAAGTCCTCGCAGCTCTACGCTTTTACGCCGCTGGCGGCTTCCAGGGAACCGTCGGAAGCGACGAAAACATTGGTGTTCGCCAGTGCTCTGTGAGTCCCCTACTTGGTGATGTCACCAACGCTATTATCGATTGCCTCGGATCAAAGTGGCTGTGTTTCCAACAAACGCAAGCCGAAAAGGCGCTCACAAATAGGAAGTTCTTCGAGCGATGCAAGTTCAGCGGCGTGATCTATAAATATTCTAAATACTTTTACACGATTCAACACGGTTGTGTTTTCATCAGAGTGCACCGCATATGAGCGATTTGGCTGAGCGAAAAACCAAGCAACGGTAAAAGGCTTAAGTTGAGCTAGTTGGTTCATACTTCAGGTAGAGAAAAAGAGAGAGAGATACTTTATTTTAAAGCAACTACTTCAGGTAAGACCAGCTGAACTACAATAAACATGCACATAAAAAAGACAATACACACCCTGGGACTAACAGCTGATTTTCTTTTTCCTCCTCTTCTACTACAAACCCCACTTGAGGGAAATATTCTCTTTTCGTGAAAAAACAGTGAGTACGCAGGCGAGCTGGTGGATGTTGATCATGATGTAGAAAACCCGAGACTGTGGTAAAAGCAGGGAAACGGTGTCGAAAAAGAAAGACAGGGGAAAAGAACGTCTCAAACTCAGCTACTGCGTTTATTTCCTCAATGTCTTATATACCCACAACCTAACCACCGACCACCGATGTCAAAAGGTCAACCTTTGTAATCTGTACAATCCTACGCACACTGGTCTTCATCTTAACCGTAAACGGTGAGCTCAATCCCAAACTAAAAGCTTAGGACCTTGAACAAAACCAAACAAACACACGGACCCACTTCCTTTCCAGCCGGAGTCTAAAAAAGCTGTGCTTCATCTAAAGGAGAACTGATATGACTTCCAACTGAACCCCTGCCCGAAAAATGACTAATTCCACGTTCACTTACAGCTATTTTAAAAAAAACATTAGATTTTAAGAAACTTCTTGGAACTACTTTTCTCTCTACAGCTCTTTTTCTTTTTCTTTTTTTACTTCCTACTTCACCGAAAATTTAACTCCCGAAGAAACATTTTTTCCTTGTCGTGCGGCACGAGATTAGTTGCACCAACGCAGTCAAACAAAGTCAAAAAGTCAAATTTGTCGTTAGTTGTTTATTCAGCAGGAGGTTATTCTGCCTGAACATGGCGACTTTTTTACTCACTGTTAGGGATGCCTCGAACTTTTTTCGAATCGAAGTTTCGATGATCGAATCAAGCGGTTCGAAAGGTTCGAAAGATTTCGATTTTTCGAATTGTCTATATCGTAAAATTCGACGGAGGTCGAATTTTCGAACTTGTTAAGCTAAGAAGTTCGACACTTTTCGAACCGTCGAACTTATTACGCTAAGAAATTCGATCTTTTTCGAACTTTCGAATTTATTGCGCTGCAAGGTTCGATGCTTGTCGAACTTTCGAACTTGACTGACCAAAAAAATTGATGAATTTCGAACTTATTTATCAAGAGATTTCGAAAAGTTTCGAACTTTCGAATTCTGGAAAGTCAGAAGTTCGACGAACTTCGAACTTTTAGGGTAAAAGTTCGACGTTCGTCGAACTTCGAAAGACCGGCGGACGGTTTCATTTGATTTCAAGTAGTGGGGTACATTCGTAATTTTTTTTTTCTCAAACTTTTACACGCGGTGCTGCGTTCCTTACGAAAGACAATGTCGTTTATTTCAATGTTCTGGCATGCTTAGGTTTAAAGAAATAAATCGCCGAAGGGGCGAGGAAGGACGACGGGTTTTTGACGATTATCGTTTGTGCCAGATTTGAAGCACGCTGCAGCCGGAGCTATTCATGGTAGATAAGTTATACTTTTTTAAGAATGATCTATGTATAGCTTAGGTAAGTGCCGTCTTAAGATGTGATTATTGTTATTCAACGTGAGTTTCGAAGAAATGTCCAAACATGTATCTGCATGCAATTATGACCTAAACTTGATATGTATTTTCGTCTAAGTTGTTTGAGGTATCGCATTTAAATTAACACCACAGACAGTACATGTCATTGCCATCTGCAGAATACAAAATAATATATTTATTGTTTTTTCACGTTAAGGAATAAATTAACTCATGGGAGAAGATTTCTAGTAGTGTTCAAGTTCAGCACGTCATTAAAAGAAAACTTTTTTTTTTTTTTTGCTTCACGTTCCTGGGACGTGTTTCTTTTAGCCTGTACACATTTTGGTAAAAAAAACTTGCTTCGAAGTTCTGAACCTCTGAATATGCAAGAATAGAACACTTCCGACGAATTCTTGATAGATTTTTTTTTTCTCCTGCTTTTTCTTCCCGCATTTATTCTTTTTTTTTTTCTTTTGTTACTATCGGCACAGGTGTTTAGGTCGAAAAGACAGCTTTGAACTTCCGAACCACTAAGCATGTGACGAGCAGTGCCTTCTGACAACGAGTTTCTAACAATGACCATCTACGCAACCTTTTACGCAGTGAAGAGCGATATTAGCTATACATATGCATAAATAATTTCAGATTGAAATAAGCTCGACCACGCCCTCTTTCCCCGTATTTTTTTTAACAGTCTGAAATACCTGCAAGGGGGAAAAGGAGGCTAAAGCACCCCCCCCCCCCCCTCCCCCCGCTACCCTATTTCCCCCCGTTTTTTCTCTGCCGACGCCACTTGTATGGTAGAACGCTCCTCGACCTCGAGTTGTGTCGGCTTTTGTGCTTTTTGCGAGGCGATTCCTCCGTCCCAGAAAATAAACCTCCAGGACAATTATAAACTTCACCGGATCGGATTACTACCAGCGTGCAAGGGGTGGCGAGCTAGTTTGCCAGGTCGCTTCACGGTTTTTCTGAGCCTCAACCTCCTGCTCGCCCCTGGCCCTTTCGAACTGGAAGAGTCTCGTAAAACAGTGTGTTCGTGCAATCTCTACTGCGTGATGCAGGTTAAAGGCCCCCCCCCCCCCCCCCCCCCCCCCGGGGCTGGCGGTCACAATTCTGCACTGGCAAATATTCTAGCACGTCCGGGACACTCGTAGTCTCATTTAATTGCCTGACCAACTTCGCAGAATCTAGATATCACACCCTAACTTTTCTAAACTTGATTTTGTGAAAACCAGTGAGTCGTGAAAACGTTATTTGAAACTGAAACTGTGGAAAAACTTGAAAATCGTACTTCGAACTTTGAAAACTTGGATTAGAAAAAAATTCAAAATCTTCGAAGTTGTTTTTTTTTTTTTTTAATTTAGCGTAAAAGAGAATCGAAACCTTCAAACTTTTCGAACTTTATGCAAAAAGAAATTCGAAATCTTCAAATTGTTCGAACTTCATGTCTATAAAAATTCGAAGCGTTCGAAGTTTTCGAATATTTTTTACAAAGAATTTCGAAATCTTCGAATTTATCGAACCTGAAGTAAAAAAAATATTCGAAATATTCGAATTCGAAATTTTAGAAACCGTGAAAGCTTCGAACTTTTCGAATTCGAAACTCCGCTGTGGACAAAAGTTGAGAATTTTTCGAAATCGAACCTCGGTCGGTACGAAAATATCGAAATTGTTCGAAATCGAACATCAGTTCGCTTCGCAAATATCGAAACCTTTCGAAATCGAATCTAGGGTGGTTCGCGACATCCCTACTCACTGTAAATAAGCAATTTAGCCAGTGCAGTACGACTGCTAGCCTGGAGTTTTTAACGAGCACCACGCAGTAGTGATACACGGCCGAGATT